TTTCCGACGAATGTCAGCAGGGAGAAAAGGTCTGCCGTGTAGCTGCACCAGAAGCACAGCAGCACGCTGTAGAGTTTTTCGAACGAAACTTGTCCATTCCGATTGAGCAGCATCAATTCCGTTCTCATCATATATGACCGGGACTCTGGGAAACTATTTGAGAAACGTATAGTTCCCAATCAACTCTTTGCCTTGGAGGAGTTTCCTCCTTCACGAAATGTCCATTACCTACCTCCAGAACAACAGGTAGATGGTCACTAGAGACGTCATACAAGATCCTAGAAACAATACTGAACCTACAGTTTTTCGATATATCTATAACATCTGGTGCATGAAGGTGATTGAAAGGATGGTGTGTCGGCTTTTCGGTGCTGTAAATAAGATACCCGTTTCGCATCACATGGTTGTAAAGCCGAACCCCACAAGTAGAGTTAAGCCTTGAGTTCCATGATCGGTGTTTGCAGTTGTAGTCCCCTGCCACAATAAGAGGGCCCGAACAGTCCAGAAGGACTTCCAAGTCCTCCTCTCGCAGCCTGGTACCGCACCTGACATACACCGAGGTGATCTTCAACGGAATGCATCCCGCCACATTGACCACCACGGACGCCGCTTCAATGCTTTGCACGTCGGCGTTTGTGCCTCTGTGATAGTCAATACCACGTTTAACGGGCAGAGCCAAGCCACCACCGCTACCATTCAATCTGTCAGTGCGTATAACATCATAATTCGAGAAAGCTAAGCGATCTCCCGGATTAAATAATGTTTCCTGCAGTCTATACTCTCATGATGAAATTCCCGTTTTTTGGGAATATCCCAGGGGAGTAATTATTTATTAGTTGCTGGGTCCACATTCTGCGTGTTCAAAGTGGGTTGAACAGAGCGGCAGTCGAAGGTATTGAGACGGCTGCTTCCGCGTATGACTTGCTGTGTCTTTGCGCTATGACTTCCAGATTTCGCCTGGGGGTGAATCTGCAAGTCTGACTGTTAGCGGGAAGCGCCTCTCCACAGTTTGCACACCTTCGCTCCTCTTGTCCTGTGAGGGGGCATAAATGTGTCATGTGGCCGGAAGCACATTTTAAACATTTGGGAGGTGCTGTGCAGTAAGACTGCGCATGACCATACCTTTGGCAGCGGTGACACTGCCCAATAAGTCTAGAGTTCTTTTGAACTCCAACTCTGATTGCTAGAGCCAGCAGCTCGTGTTCATTGAACAGCTGCTGGGACTGTTCATTCTTGGGCTGTATCACGACCACCAAAGGCATGGGTGCGCCGCCACTGCGTTTGAGTCGGATAATGTGGAGAGGAGTATATCCCCTCTGTTCTAATTCCCCTTTGATCTCCTGTTCCGAAAACATTGCGGGTATACCTGTGACTACCGCGTGAATATTTCGTTTCGAAGGAAGAGGGAACGTATGATGAGGGACGTCCTCCTCCCTGAACATTCGGCAAAATCCTGATTCCCGCAACAACGGCAACTGCGCGTTCTATCTTAATGCCTAACCTTATAAAGGTATAGTTTAGGTTTGGCCACTTGGCTGCATCACGCAAAACAATGGGCGTGATTTGCCCCTGGTGGGGTGCTGTGCTGGTCGACTCACCAACAACGTGAGATTGTTGAGATGATGCACCGTCAGTCGATGCAATGGCCAAAGATTGAGAAGATGTGCTCGCTGCAACGACTGGCATAGGGCAAGTGGCAGAAGAAGTTGATACGTTTAATGAGGCAGACGGTTTTGAGGGGACTGTCAACTTGAATTTGGATTTTGTTTTTGGAAGAGGTGGAAAGTCAAACGTCTTATCGGTTTTGTTCATTTTATCGCTGCGTCTTTTCCTAGACTTGGACTGGATGAATCCGTCATTCTGTATTTCATGGTCGGTTGATGTCACGTCAGTTAAATTTTCAAGAGGTCTTTTTAAATTGACAACCTTGTCAGATTTAGAACTAAAATTTGGATTATTGATTAACTGTGTTACCTAGGTGGTCAGGCAGTCTATTTTACTGTTTTGGTCCCCAACTGCCTCTGCCAGTTCCTTAATTTGCTGGGCCTGGCTTTCGATGATCAGGGTCAGGCGTGGATGGTTCTGTCCTTTTCGTCTGCTACAGCTGGTGTCATCAATTCCTTTGATTTCATGGTAATTTCTGTTCTCTACTTCTGACTGGGTCCATTCATCATCAGGAGGGCTAGGGGATCATTACATTAACCTCCAGAGTGTATCTTCATTTTTTTAAATCGAATTGTCTATTGAAAAACTTGAAGACTTTCACGAGCAAAAATATGACGTATTGTCAGTTATCCCTTATACAGGGCGATGATAACTGAAGCATCATGACGTATAGGCAACACGTACAACTATAAAACGAGTTCACAAGTATCCATCACCCACTGTTAACATCTTGCAGAGTAACCTAAATAATGTCACAAAAAAACCAATACAATGTTAAAAAAAATCGACATAATGTCACTTTTCAAGATACGGTAATACCCGTGCGGAAGAAAGTCCACGATGAAGAACGGAGTGAACGACTGTCAGTGTCTTGGCGGTTGCCGAAATGATCTACCGCGAAGTAGAACCGTCCGTGAACTCCTAAGAACCCGACCAACAAGTTGGCGGACGATGACTACTGTTTGAATCACTTCACATCGGACCATCTCAATAACCGCCTCTGTTTGGACGGGTTGAATGGACGTACACTTGTTTCCATACAAGTCTGAAAACTGTCAGATGAATATTCACGGGTAGAGTCTCTTTGGCGTGCAAAAAGCGAGTTATGGAACGGATCTTACACTTAGCAGGATCAAAAATGGGAAGCTCCATATTGGTCGAGAGCGGGAAAACAACGTTATTGCTGGACTTCGCTTCTCACTTTCCAATATGACTGAAGCTTATTTTTGGATCAACCCTCGTATATAAATCATAGGCGCAGCCAACAGTACCGCCTGGAGGTATCAAAAGAAAAGTGCCCCAGATTATAAACTTCACTTCTCCTATTTGGAAAATTCCGACACTTACCAGAGGGGCTAGTAAGGCACACTACTAATCGATTCATGATATCAAAAAACGTTTGTTAATATTTCCAAGTGCCTCTGATTTCCTATGACCGTTGGTGTGACATCTTTTGTCGATAACCCCTTTCCATCAACCCGCTTTTTTTTAACAAAAACCTCAAATACTACATGAAAAAGAACAAAATAGTTAAACTCATTTGCAGTTCGCCTTTTGCCGCTAGCATGATTACACAAACAGGAAAATAGATATTGGGCTGCGACTGGGGCATGGTTTTTTTTATTGTTTAATTGTTTAACAAAATTGACACGACTTTGTTAATGTCAAGTCACCCAATTGCGAGATTAGTTGACCAAAGTATTATCCATATCAGTCGCTTAGCCTGACACTACGGAATTCAGGGAGACTATCAGGTGTCGTATTGTTTTAGTTTTAAATCATAGTTGTTTCCTGTTAAGGTACCTTTATGGTATTGCCGGTGTTTCTTCCAATAAATATTAGAAAAATAATGTTTTCTGAAAATTCTGAAAATAAACCCTTCTTTGCAAAAAGTTCCTCTAAAATTTAGGTTCTGGAAAAGAAACGTATTCGACCGATTAGCAGCACAGCGTGGTCGATGAGTGCTACAAAGTAAGGTTATGCTTTTGCAACTCTTATCATCAAGTGTGTGCGAGCGCCACCTCTGGCGCAAGAGATCAAACAACTGAAAAACGCCTGATAGCAAGCGGACTCCTCCAACTCGACCTCATCGACGGGCACAGTACAAATCTGATGAAATAGATGGCACCATCCGCTGCATACTTTTACTTGCACTATATTTCACATACACTTAAAAACATATTTATCTGATGGCTTTGGTTCGATGTGTACGAGATAGAAGTGTAAATGGACACATATGTTAGAAAGAGATAGAAGCCGTCTGGCGACGCTGGCCCGGCTATCTGCCGCGTTGCCAATATGTTACACCAGTTCCTCGAATTAAGATACATATTGAAATTGAAATATGCGTTAGTTTATTATTTACGCTCAAATAATGGTTTTATTTTGAGTGTACACATTTTTGAATTGCGAATTGCGTCGAATCTGTTTAGGATTAACTCCCGATCTGTCCTAACTGAGCTCCTTTTAGGTCAAAATGAAAGATCAGAATCACCACAAATTCTGCAACATTGCATCATTGGTTCATTTTAAAACACCGCATCTTGCACATTCCAAGGCAAGGTTTCCAGCTCCATGATCATAGTTGAGCGATTTTGGTCAGTACCCATCTAGCGCTCGTATGGGAGTGTCGTCTTGATTTCAAGTGGCTTTCACCCGCGTACAAGCAAGCAGTGATACCAACCGCAACGCTGTCGCAAAATGTAACAGTAACTCAGGATATGTTGATTTTATCACCATCGGTGGGAATAGAAGATAATACTTAAATGAATTAAAATACTAAGGCGCATCAAAATTGAAATATATAATTCTAATTAAAATGAAAAAGAAATATTAAGTGAAATATTCTAACCTACCTCATCTTTGTGTTTGACAGTAACCTAACCTATTGTAGCAGTCAGGGCGAACATTTTCTAGTGTAACATATTGCCAATGCGACAGATCGCATGACCTTCTGCGTCACCGTTGCTAGGCAGTGGGGTGATGATCTTCGCTCTTCAGCCGGCTTCTCTTTCTAACATGTGTTGACACACACTTCTCTCTCGTACACCTTGAGCTCAAGCCTTCGGACAAATTTGGTTTTCCCTATATAGTCACACTGCAAAGGTGAAATCAAAGAACAAATAAGTAATGAAATTGGCAGTTGCGATATTCATGCAGCTGCGGCAATTTTAGTGAAGAAGACTTATGAACTATTATTTAAAATTCAGAATTCACTAACAATACCCTGATACTCAAAACAAAAGTCTACTCTCCAATTGTTTTTGGGAACCAGCATCAGCCATGGGTTTGGGGGATACTTACCCCCCTTACCACCTCACCACCTTATTTTGTAGGTCCTTGTGATCTTTTTCGGTGTTAATATGGCAGTCATTTGTTTCGACACCTTGATTATGACTTTGATTGTACTGACTCATATACAATTCAGATTGTTAAATCACGAAGTTGAGAATTTGTACTCATATGGACTTGGACAAGGAAATCGAAAATATTTTGTTAATAAGTTGAAGAAAATCGTCAGACATCACAATTTTCTGTTAGAGTAAGTATGAACTGTTTTTTTTTTATAAAATTCTTTGTGAAAGTGCCACAGATTGCTGATCAATAATATTTCAGGTTTACACAAAAGATAAATATGACCTTTTCTGAGACATTTTTAACATACATGGGTATAATTATTATAGTAATTTGTATAGAGATGTACAACTTATCAACAGGGTATGTATTTGTATGCAAGCTTTTCTATACACTTTTTTCATGTATAACTTCAGTTCTCTTTGTATCATCTTATTTGATATAGTTACGCTTACTTTAGCATTGGAGATCCTCTTACCGCTTTATAAACCTTATATATTTCCCACTGATGTTTCATTGAAAATAGAAATAAAATCACATTTTGCAAGAGGAACACGTTTCCCTCTACATCCTGTTTGTGTCCAATTTTCCTCTGAGAGCGCAAAAGGATAAAAATAAGTCCATGAATATTTCGTTTCAGTGATCCTTAACTGAAAACATCAACCCATGAGAAATGTTTACGCATCCATCATAGATATTATTCAATCTGCTTTTATTTGTCGGCCCACCTGTATGATGCTCATTATTCCCAATCAGCATTAAACCGCCGCAAGTAGTTGCCTGGACTGGGCGAAAATACCCTACGCTTTTGATTTGTCAAGTTGTAGTACTTAGAGTAATCGTTATAGGGCTAATATGGAGCTGCTTATCAGAGCAACACTTTTTACTACAGGGACATTGTTTCAGTTTGTCGTGTTTTACTGCATACCAGCTCAAGATCTTACTGATGAGGTAAGTTTCTCAATGCAACGTCCTATCACACAATCACTTTGGCTAGTACGTCTTTGTTATTGAGACAATATTAGGCAAGCAACAAGTGTCTGTATTAAAATCGAAATATACTAGTAGAGTGCTTTTCAAAAAGACCCCTCCCACTTATTTCTTGAACGGGTCAAGTTAGCAACCCATATCTTAGCGTAAAAGAGGCAGTAGAAAATTTCAAGATGACGGCTGGGTGCCATTTTGGAACATTTTTTTCATGTGATGACCTCATTTTAAAGCTCATAAGTACTTCATAACCCTATGATATAAAATCACTATCTTCCAAAATAATGAACTGACAGTTTGGCAAAGTTGTACGCTTTTGTCCATAAAGTCACTGGTAACTCAAAAACAATTATAATACAAATATGTTATATCAATCTTCTTCGCTTTGAAGGGTCGGCCCAAATATGTATTAAAATATGATGATATTTTATCTACAAAAATGTCAAAATCTGTTATTCTCCAAACTGAATGTCTCATATTTTATAGCATATTCAGGTAGACCATTCCAAAAGAAGTAGAGCTTGTTACCGATTGCACAGTCGGCAGTGGCCTTTAGTACAACGCAGCATGTTCCCATTGGTACTGCGATCAGAAACTTATTGATGATAGAACGTCGTTGACTAATACTAAAGTCGCTACAGTCACAACTCCCTACCGCTACAACGCTCAACCCTCAAGTTTCAACCCCTCCAAAAAAAATTCAAGAAATAATCAGTAGCCGTTGTATCATCAAAAAACTAAGTTTGAGCAATTTTTATTTTTGCATCATTGGCACAGAAGTAACTTTGGATGAAAATTTCATCAAAATCCGAGCGGTACTTTTCAAGTTGTAGGCGGTTATGAAATTAGAGGGCAGACCGACAGGCAGGCTGACCGAGGGAAATGAGTGAAATGATTTTTTTCTGTGACGGGAAAAGGTTTTGACATTTTATCTCTGTTGTCACTTTTTATGAAATTACTTTTGCCACGGGAAAAAAATTAGCACTTTTTTCTAGCATTTGTATAAACGATTTAGCTGGCAATAATTTTTTTGACGCTTTTTTGACTACTTCTGCTAATTCCGGTGGAGTCAAAGAAAACTCGAAATCAGACATTTTTCACTTTATAATATTAAAAATAACTTCTAAACAACCACTAAGTTCACAATTTAATCAAATCACAAAATTAAATTGAAATTATTATTTGATTACCTTAAAAGTTTCCTTAACAACGCAGGTATAATTGTCGCTATAAGTAAAGTTTGGCAAACGGATCTGAGACATCGGGGTATCGGTGAGGGGAAAGCAAAACATGGCTGGTTTCATTCATAAAATGCCAGCGGCGTGCGGTATTTTATAAAAGTTTGGGATTATTTCATAATTGGTTTAAATTTAGTAAACTATACGTTTATCTTTCACTTTAAATTTGGGAAGTATCTCAATAAGCCCACAATAATATGGAGCATTGACCATAATAATAAATAAAGTCTGGAGTAAACTCAAAAATAGCTGTTCTCTTCAGTCTACACCATGTAAAAAACACTTGACACAAACGGAAAAATGTCTACTCACTTCCCAAAATTGCCACAATTCAAAAAATCATGATAACTGCGCGATTTAAAACCTAATTTTAAAATCAAGCTAGCGTTTTTGTCAAAGCCGTAAATAAAATATATTTTTCAAATACAAATAGATACTTAACGTGCTTTTTACCTTGAGAATATATATATACGAAGTTGAGTCATTAATTTTCAGATAATGATTGCAGAAGGAAGATAAACCAAAATATGTGTGTAAAAATAAAAAAAAAAATAAAAAAATGTTTTTACCTTGTTTTATAAAGTATCCTCCCGACAAGTATTTCAGTGCGGACATGTATTTGATCGTGAGGTCCCCTGTGAGGTCTTAAGTCACCTGATTCACGAGCCCGTTGTACTACATTAACAAAGGCACGAGGGGTTGGTTGCACTCGATTGGAAAACCGATCCGCATAAACATGTGCCATTTTTTATTTCGTTTGAGCCACGCAACAGACACTATTCACACGCGTTACCGACTGACACTGACTGTATGTATAACTGAACTGAATAAAATAATTGTAAAAACATCGTTCCAAATTATTTCGCTTTTTTGTTTCCGATGCGATGAACCGATAAGGCGGATTATATCCGTTGTTGCCAAACATGAGCACATGATATTATTATTGAGACAGGGCGGTACTCAAACTTCCAAAGGGCTATAACTTTGATACTTTAATTTTACCAGAAAAATGGTAAAGGAAAAAAACATTTCTTTTGATCAGATCTACTCACTGTTAAAATAAATGACTCAACTTCGAAGTCACCCTGTATATTATACATCCGTGATCTTATAATATGCTCATTTACTTTAAAAAGTGCCACAAGCCGAAACATGACCAGAATTAATTTTTATTTTATAATCCGCATCTTTCTGGATTCCTATTGTTGCAATTTTGGACTGTTGATGTGGATATTTCTAGAGCATCGGTGTCGCTTAAATAGAAACAAAGAACTTTAAACACATTTCATATCCGTTTAACTTATAACCTCTGTAATAAATAATACTTACATTATACAGCATTTCAAAATTACATTTCACCTATTGAATTAGCATTGGTGTTCGTCAACTTCATCATTATCACAATCGTCACTGTCGTCATCAGTTTCGCTGTCGTCATCAGTTTCGCTGTCGTCATCTTGCCCTATAGTTATTATAACTGGTTCCATTTCCTCCATAAATTGATCATTTTCCCAAAATTTATCTTCAATGTCCCTAGCATGTTGACAAAATTTCTGCCAATCATTAATGGATATTAAGGACATCGCTTCCTGAGTAACTTCTTTCAGTGCGGTTAAACTGAAGTTTCCAGTGGTATTGCGGCTTCTTATATAAAATTTAAGCTTTGCCCAAGCTAATTCTATTGGGTTTAGCTCGCATAAATAAGGAGGTGTTCTTAGAGGAGTATGCCCATGTGATCTTATGATCCGATCAACTACATAATTTTTTTGGTTGTCAGGGGGCTTATGAAGTAAGACCAGATCGAACAAGTCAAATTTTCTGGCAGTTGCCTCATGATTTATGCCTATAAAATATTTTATTGTATAGTTTGATATGTACATGCATGTTTTGAGTCATAAGTACCTTTCTTTGTCAACCAGGCCATTATATCTTTTTTCGAAGATGATTTTGTCGGGGTTTTATCTTCCTGGACGGAATGATATGGAGCATTGTCAAATACTATAACCGAATTGGCAGGTATATTCGGTAGGAGTTTTTCTGTGAGCCAGCGTGTGAAATTTTCCCGATTCATCTGACCGTGGTAATCGCCTGTAGCTAATCCCGCCTTAAATATCAAACAGGCATTGTCAACAAATCCATTTTCTAAACCTGCATGCACTATAATGAGTCGACCTAAAATATACAAGACGATTATATAATATGTTACAAATCAGAGTTAAATTTAACATATATATAGCATTTTTGCTTACCTGTAGAACCTATACTGCTTATTACACCAGAAACAGTTTCACTCTGCCAGCATTTTTTGAAAGTCAAGTCATTGTCCACCCAGGTTTCGTCCAAATAAACTATATTGCGCCCTTCTTCACGATATCTATGTATTTCACGGATGTATTTGTACCTCCATTGCAATATATTGGGCCTCTCCATCAAAACTTTTCTTTTATTTTGACATTTGCGCCAAAAAAAACCATTTGATTTTAATAAACTCCTGAGTGTTTCCCTAGAATAGGGGAAATTTGAGTCTTTTCGCAACTTTTGTAATAACTTCCTAGTTGTCGGGACAACTTTATATTCAAGATAAAATCTGTTTATCAAATGTCTAATAATCTGAAAATCAAAATCTTCATCTTTCTCAACAAGAGACTGACGCGGTCTTTTTTTTCCGGGACTGGATAACATTTTATTCGGGTTATTTTCTAGTCTTTCTTTATCTTCGTTATGAATTTTCCTAACAGAAGATACTCCGACTCCGGTATAAAGGGACACCCTATCAAGCTTACGTTTAAGCGGCAACTTGAGGGAATTGTTTGCCGCTTCCTCATCGCAAGCCCTATAAATAATCATCCGAATGTTAGCTTAGCATTTCCTTGTTTTTTATTTATATTCAGACTCAGTCGTCAAAAACTACAATTATTGCATATTATTATTACTAACCTATAAACATTCGCAATCACTTCTCTTGTTTGGCTATGAAGCGTCTTTCCGCGAGTAAATTGGTTCATTTTAAAAAAATAATACTAAAACGAATAACAATATCAAATAACAAAACACTAAACTATTCAAAAACACACAGCACTAAACATACAAACTTACACGACAATCAACGGAGATAAAACCTACGCCACTGGACTTTTCAATAGTATGGATATTCTAAGAAAGGAGCAAAAAATTGTCTGGGACGCTACCCAATAGGGAGTCGAATTTTGTCATGGCGACAAAACATGTGAGGATATCCGCCAATCAGATTCGTTTAGGCGGTGTCCAATATACCTTTCGGGTGGTTGTTGCCAGCTCAACCGATGTAGATAAGATCTTTGGAAAAATGTTTACTTATAATACGATTCAGTAGTAAAAAATAGTTACTAAATACAAATAGAGCTAACAACCCATTAAAATTCTCAGTATTTTGAATTAATGTTTTTTGGAATTGTGAAAAATCGATTTTCAAATCATTGAAATTACTTTTATTATTATTACCTATTGCTTTTTTGTAGTTAAA